GGAAAAAAGCATTAGATGACATAAAACAGTTTTTGCCAACCAAGCTGCCCTTGAAGTAGATGGACTTCAACTCCCACAGCTCCCCAGTTAGTATGGCTGTGGCTGAGAATTCTGGGAGTTCCAGGACACCCTCCAGATGAGAGGATTTCAACCCCAGAATTCCACAGTCAACATGTCCATTGCTAAGACTTCTGGGAGTTGAAATTCACATATCTGGAGGGCATCTGCACAGGAGAAAATGTCTTGGTCTGTTTTTTTCCTTCTTTTCTACCAATTCAAGTGTTTGGCGTCAATCGCTCCATACTGTCTCCAAAGCAACACTGAGGCCAGATATGATGGCTCTTCTAAAATGAAACCTTTACCTGCCGTGCCCATGCAGAGACCTGCAAATTCCTGTGAGTTCTGCTCTCAGCAGCCCCAGCATCAGAGCTGCTCCACCCTTAAAGGAAACCCCCATGGGCAAAAGGGATCATAGAATGGGAGGTAACATGTAGCTTGGCCTTTGGTTCCAGCTCAAGTCCTTCAGCTGCAATCCTGGCAGATTTATCAGAAAGTAAGCTCAGTAGAAGACAGTGGGATTTCTGAGAATTATACAGTATTATGGTTTTTCTGCTCCTCCTTTCTCTCCTCCCCTCTCCCCCAATTATTCAAATTTCCTGTCTTTCGGCTCCCCACCCAAAGAATGGGGTGGGATTCAAAATCCACCACCTCGGAAAACTTCCCTTGCTTTAAGCGTCTGTAATCCAAGATCCCTGCATTTATTGTTAGTTGCTGAGTGACTGAGTGAATGACGAAGTGGAATAGCCATTCTGTAAAATCAGAGAGCATGTTATCACATGCCATACTAGACAAGATGATAGCTTTGATTAAAGAGTTCAGCCGTGACCCCTTTTTCCATTCCAGCCTTTTCTGGAAGCCATGGAGTTGCTGCATTAATTAATAAAAGTCTATTACGAAAGCCAACCCTGAGTTACTGCAGCTGGAGGCGGTCTACCTCGTGTAAGCAAACATCCCCCAATCTCTTCTTAAGAGCAGGTGTTACAAAATGGTGCTCCTGATCAAGGATTCTCAGTTGAGCTGAGAATGGTTTCATTGTAAAGCCAAAAGTGGAGGGAATATTGTTGCATGCCTTATAACTGAACCTTCTTGGATGAATGGACAGGAAGCCAATTAACAAGTTGCCAGATGTGTTCTATAAATTAGAATTAGATGTGAGGCCGTTCTTTGGGACCCCATTCTGATGGATGGTGGAGAACTCCAGAGGGAAAAGCATAGAACAATCTGTTTCCAGACCATTTTCATTTGCCTTCTGTCGGTTTGGTCCTATTTTTTTGTCTATGTCATCGCAAAGGAAATATTTAGATTGAAATTGGACGTGCTTCCACTTTGACAAAATGCTTTTGTGTATCCTTTTCGCCATGAAATATATTTTAGCTGTAAGCAGTTTTAGAGCAAGGGTGATATCGTAAAATGGGGAAGCATGTACAGAATCCAGAGGAATGCGAGGGTTCCACGTCAAGTTTTTGTGCAGGTCATGAAAATTAGGTTGACGCATGGAATCGTAGCATCAGAGTTGAAAGGGAGACCAGAGGTCATCTACTCCAACCTGCTGGTCACTGCAGGATCTCTAAAGCTTCAGCGTTTGCCTTCAGGTATCTGCAGAGTTCCTCCAGCCAAGAGTACCTCTAAATCAGTGTTTCTCAACCTTGGGAACTTTAAGATGTGTGGACTTCAACTCCCAGAATTCCCCAGCCAGCATGTCTGGCTCCTACCTACCCACAATCCTTCTCATTAGAATCGGCCCTTCCACTAAGTAAAAGTGAGACAGGTCACTGCAGGATCTCTAAAGCTTCAGCGTTTGCCTTCAGGTATCTGCAGAGGTCCGCCAGCCAAGAGTACCTCTAAATCAGTGTTTCTCAACCTTGGGAACTTTAAGATGTGTGGACTTCAACTCCCAGAATTCCCCAGCCAGCATGTCTGGCTCCTACCTACCCACAATCCTTCTCATTAGAATCGGCCCTTCCACTAAGTAAAAGTGAGACAAGAATTCCGGCACTTGATTTTCAATGGCATGAAATAGCAGAAAAGTACTAGCTATTCAGTTGTTGTTAATTTGCTGTTAAAAAGAGGAAGGAGGCAATTAAGATGTTTTCGGACGTCAAATAGGTTTATTGGTTTAGGACAGTGTTTCTCATCCTCAGCAACTTATTTCAACACCCAGAATTCCCCAGCCAGCATGAGAATTCTGGGACTCGAAGTCACTGCATGTTGGCTGGGGGATTCTGGGACTTGAAGTCACTGCATGCTGGGTGGAGGATTCTGGGACTCGAAGTCAAAGGATGCTGGCTGGGGGATTCTGGGACTCGAAGTCAATGCATGCTGGCTGGGGGATTCTGGGACTTGAAGTCAAAGGATGCTGGCTGGGGGATTCTGGGACTCGAAGTCAATGCATGCTGGCTGGGGGATTCTGGGACTTCAAGTCAGTGCATGCTGACTGGGGAATTCTGGAAGTTGAAATCCACACATCTTAAAGTTGCTGAGGTTGAGAAACTCTGCTTTAGGTTACTGTAGCCCACATCCTTGGAATCTGACTACTGACTCTCATGCACATTTTTCGATCTTTACCATTTTAGTAGCTGGTGTCCTTCTGATCTCCCTCCCTGGAGGTTGAAAACGATTTTTGAAAGCTTGAATAAAGGCCTGAGCAAGGTTGTTGAGGCTCTTTGCTTCGTCTCGCCATCTCCTTTGTGGCTGGCAAAAGTTGGGACTGGTTTCTGCTCCGGTGCCCCCTTCCAGCATTGGCAAGGGTCAGAGGGGCAACGCAGACTGCGAGGGACTTCCAGTTCGAAGCATCAGAAGAGTTGCAATGGCACGGTGGCCTCTTCTAGCTGTTGCAAGTGCTGGGGGCGGGGGGCAAGAGAAAACGGGAAGGGAGCCAAGCAAACCCAAGAGTTAGAACAGGGAGGGTTGCGTAGTTCCTAAAGCAATTTCATTTGAACGGGCACCAAAAGCAAAACATCTCGGAAATCTTCCTGACTGGATTAGAAATGCAGAGGTGATAGTTGAGGACCGCCAGCTTCTGATTTATTAGGGCTGGGTAAAACATTGAGAAGGAATACTTTGCAACGTGCGTCAGTGCAAGGGAAGCGTGCCTTCTCAGAGCGTGAAACAGTTGTGTGGCGTAGAAGGTCGGCATGGCTGTTTCCAGAGGTGTGCCAAGCTGTATGTGCCCGCATGTACAACCACGCTGCTTGCTAGCTGTCTCAGCAAAAGTATTGCTGGGGCACGTACACCCTCATGCAAGCAGCCAGGAATGGCTCGTGATGCAACCATTCCAGCCCTCCAGAGATGAGGGTGGCTTTAACATTGCGAGGAGCTGTCGTGC